TGCAGAAAATATTTTTCTTCGTCGTCTCTTTAAAAGAACGAAGATTTACAATGTATGTCGAAACAGCAGCCAATTTAAACAGAAATTCAAATTTACAATTCCAGGTTTGAATTTAGTTCATGTTTGTTGTGTAGAACAGCCGAAATAACAGTTACAGCTTTATCAATACGAAACAATGAAAGTTGATTCATACAGTGTCTAGGTAAAACGGTTCGCTTTTCAGTTCGATTCGACTATGACCGGATAGCAACCAAAAATTGAAAGGAACGATCTGGTATGTCCCGCAACCCGGAATACATAGTACAAGCCTCGCCGGGAATTTATTCCTATCACGAATACTGACGGCGGAGGTCAATCCACTTGAACGCAGAAAAGTCAGGATGCTCACTCAAACTGGACTTACTGGATACTCCAGAGTCAAAGACTCCAGTTCTGGCTGGGAGAAATTCATGGAAGCCGATTGTGGGATATTCTATAGTTATGCCGCAGAACGGAACAAATCGCACGAATCGAACTGCTCTAAATGCGCCATGGGAAACAACTATTCAAACGAAACTCCTAACTGTTCTTCGACCCTTGACAATTGTTGAATACGAATCGACAAAATTAGACTTTACCACAAGCGAAATCTGCCGAGATTCTCGTCTTCGGATCGTTAAATGTGGCTCATGTATTCAAGCAGTTATTAACAATGAGAATTGAATGAATAATTAATAAATCTTCGCCATTAATTACTGTTTTTCGTGATTTAAAGTTTATCTAATGAAGATGTTACTCCTATTAAATACGATATTAACGCTGAACGTACCACGACCGGTTAAATGATCGGTTTTCAAATTTGATTAAATATTCTGCATTTTCTTTCATCCATTTAATGTCACATAACTTCTTACGTTTTCCAATTAATCAGTTTCTTCAATATCGTCTCTCCTTTTACTCGTGTTTTCACTAAGAAAAACTCATCATTCTACTTGTTTACCTTTATTTTATAACCAGCTAATTGACTGGTTACTGGAATAGGTCGTGTAAAGTGTTAGTCCGTTTAGTGTTGAAAAATTCGAATCCAAAGGGAATACGAGACTGTGAAGTGATGTAAAAGAACCTCGAAATATTCTTAATATTGAAAATATGAATTATTATTTCTGCTGCTTTGTTTGAAATGAGTATTTTAAGAAACATTTCTACAGTTTGAAAGGATAAAAAGTAAAGGCCGTAATTGAAAATTCCCAACCATTCCCGTTAAATGTTCGTTGTTAATTCTAAACCCATTCTCACACCGCAATGAAGTTCTGCTTACGCGCAGTCATTTCTTTTAACCCGTTAACCCCTTATTCCTTTCACGATTACTGAATCAGTACACTTACGAACGGATTTGTATAATCGTTTTATTCAAAAGACCCGAGAAAGATTTAGCTTTTTTAAATCAGGAAACATACTGTTTGTATACGTACTGTTTGCATCGCTTCCTTGATGTTTACCAAACGAGTATACTTCATTGAAATGAATTACCTTTTAATGTAACGATGACTAAAATAAAGTAGTTTTCTTTAAACATGATGATCTAAGGAATATATAGAGGTATAATAAATATAAAAATGATGTGAATGTTAGTACAAATTTAGTTAAAACCCCTATTACTGTTATAATTATTTTAAAATACTCCTTCGTTGATTACAATAGGTTTCAATGTTTAAAGAGAATTTTTTGTATTTTCAAATTATTGCATGATAGGTCGAATTTATTTAAACAATAATTACAGAAACAACTAAACTGTTATTTGCAATACAAACATTTTAAGAAATATGTCTAATATTCTTGTATACTTAAATTATTTCATAATAAAGAAGCTAAACAATTTACTGAAAACGTTTCAGTAAACCCCTCTTCGAAATTTAAAAATTTATTTTATTGTATATTTTATAGTAGTTTATTGTATATTGTATTGAAGCAGCTATCCATGCCGACATCATTTAATAGTTCATTTTGTTATGCGAAGATACTGGTAAACCATTAATGTATGTATATAAAACTTTCATGCTTTGAAAAGGCTGATGAGAACGTACATACGTACATAGTTAACATAAGAAGTTTAGACGTAAACAATCCTTGTCACGTGTAAATAAAACAGTATATAATTCATGAATATGACTCATTAATAGACTTCAGAAATTTATACAAATTCATATTTTTTAAAAGAAAGTTTCTGTAAAACATAAAAGAATCTGTAAACTTAATAAAACTTCAAATCATTCAGAATCTTGGGAAATAGAATCATTCAATATACTATTACTAATCATTACTAAAAGAAACAAACACTGAAATACTTTTAACTTGTTTATGTACTTCTATTTTGTAAACATTCTTAGCAACATCAAGGTAGACCATACTTTAATATTGACGTGTTCATAACTGCAATGAAGGTTCGCATCGTTACTTATTCACGTATATGCCCATACATGATAATTATCTGCAATCTTCAGCAAATAAAAATATATGTGACGCAAAACACCACCATGGGCATAAAAATTCGAGTTTACGATTTCCAAACGATTATCTTCGCAGACATTAACAAGTATTAAAAAATTTGAGCTAAACTTAATGTATGAGATCGATAACATAAATTACCCTTATGTTGCTACACCATTGTTACTGTGAAATTAGATGTCGTTGCAATTCATATAATACAATTTCTAATATCTGATAGAACAGGTCAGAATTGGTCGTAATTTGTGCAATTATTTTATAAATTTAAAAGATTTTTTAAATTTAACTTAACAACATAAGACATTTTATTTTATGTCAATTGAATTTTTATTTCATACACATTTTCCATAATACATTGACATGTTAAAGGTAAAATATATTTTACTTTGTCAAAATATATCAGTCCTTTAAAGGAATAGATAATTGGTTAAAAGTATCAAAGTAAATTTTATAATTAATGAAAGAAAGAAGATTATGTTCATTAAAGGAACTGAGTAAAAGTAGTGCATTTATCTACTGATCCCATAAGCTTTTATTATACGATCGTAAAATGGTATTTTACTATTCCTAAAATTGTGAACCTTCATTTTATATATTTCATATAGACTACATATTAAGGAAAAATCTGTATTGATAAAAAATGAAAAAAATGGGAGTTTTAAAAAGATTAAATTTTTACTACAAAAACTAAACAACAAATCCAGTTCTTGTATACGAATAATCTGTTATTTAAATATAATATAGAAATCTTGCATTGCTTCTTAATAAACATTTCATGTTATAACTTCATCTTAATATCTCGTTTTTACTTTTATATTTCATTTTGGAAGAACTTCCACTTTTTCAGGCAATTCCAAAGATCGTGTTGTTTTCTATTGCAGTAAAAGAATACTGTAATATTCTTTGATCCATGAAATTGCTTTAAAGTCACGTTACCCTGTCTTGCACGAAATATCAGAAGATACCAGTGAAACAAGTAGCCGCGTTTCTCTGCGCCGAAGGAATGCATACAAAATGACCGACATAATACGCTTCTTCACCCTTCAACGGTAAATCTTCGAATCTTTGAACTTAACAACCGAATATACAAACTCGTTCAACGGCAACAGCCCATTAACATGATATTCATTTCCTTACGAACAAGAAACATTTATTACACTATAGATCTTAGTATTGGATCGTTCCATAAATAATGCGGGTTTTTATATTTTTTTATTTAAAACAATTAAATTATTTCTTACTATTACTATACTTAATTTATATTTTTTTAATTAATTCATTATCTATAGATAATGAAGGAGAATATATTTTCGGTAAAAGGGTTCCGTCTACCATAATTTGTAAAAATAAAAGTATTTTAAAAAACGGACTAGTTATAGGGTGTTCCAATAGAATGTAGGCATGTCGAACACGTAAATGTATATTAGCACTAAAACTTCTGAGTAGTTAAACTGACTTTTTTATATTCCTCTATAGAAACTCCAAGAATGCATCTATTGAGAATTGAATTAATTTGCAATTCAGCTCGAGTATTGTTAAATCAATTTCATTAATAATTTCGCAGAGAAACATCTATTATCTTTTTAGTAATTGATAGTTTTAGTGTTAATATCTGCAATAAAGAATAACTAAGAAAAATGAAGTACTGTCATTACAGCTTGGTCGTGTTCAACGACAACATAATTTACTGGAAAATTAATTTGGTCATTTAGTTCCACCTAGATCGTCATCGATATTTACCATCAATTATTCATGTCGAAGTGACGAAAGAGCTTTTTAGACAGTTCTCCAGCGTACGGGCATTTAAAGGTCAACGGTCCACGGAGCCGTCCACGTAAGTCAATTAAGAAACGCATGTAAATGAACACTGAAACTGAACGAATTTTAAAAAGCTTCAGTGGAATTTCCCAACCGGTGAAAATAAAATAAAAGTATCTTATTGTAAGAATATTTTATGGAATCGCAATCTCTGACTATTTTTCAGTCGCACGTGTACGCGCCTCTCTTTCTATTTCTCGTGAATATTCTCCTCTAAAATGTACAAACACTAAAGAATCTAAAACATGAAAACGTAATTATTCGTATAGAAAAGGACATTACTAAATAAACATAACTACAACTAACAATCTACCGAAACTTATTAAACAAACTCATTTCATGTAACCATCACGAATCATCGAACCCAACAGATTCTACATCACGAATTCCACAAAAGTGTAAAACCGACGGAGCTTCAAGTAGACAGAAGTTGCCCCCGTTCAGCGCACCGGACCTCCAGCGATCCACTTTCTTTCGTATCTTTTTTCGATCAAAGAAAAAGAACTGAAGGCAACCTCTTCCCGTTCTCGTTTTCTGAATTAATATCGAGAATCCAGCCTGCTCTCCATAATAATGGGTTCCGTAAATGCTCAAAAAGAAAGGAAAAAGACATCGAGGCATCCGCAACAGAGATCGGCTCCAGGGTGTAGCGACCGCGGGGACAAAAGCGGAAACGCAGTGTCGCAGAAAGGACTTACCGCGGCTGCCATCCGATCCATTCACAATCGTATCCAGAGTGTCATGGCACAACGATAAGAACAAAAAGAAGATACAACGATCCGCAATCCGCACTGGCGAACCGGAAAACCACCCGGACACCGAACAATTTCACTGGCGGCACTAATCCTCCAAGCCAAGATCGGTTACATGTCTCACTTCCGCGGCTCAGGGGGCGATTTTCACAGGTCAGCTCCCTCCGGGCTGTCGGGCCCCAAGAGGTGGGAGTAGGCTGAGGCCCGATCGGGTCGAAATCGGATCGGTCCGCTCGAAATCGACCAGATATCGGCTGAGCTGTTCGAATGTAGCAAAGAGGAACCGAACCGTGCGTGCCGAACGTCGCCGGCCAAGTGAGAGGCTAGCGGCACTACCGACCAGGCGATGTGACGTCAGAGTGCCTCCTCTCTTTTTGCCATTCCACAGCGAGCGCCGCGAGAAAGGTGCCTATACAACTTCGTGTATCCCCTTCTCTTATGTCCTTGTTTGCGAGGAGCACCAGAAGAGACCTTAAAGGATACCTTCGGTGCCAGGCGGAATATTTTCATCGAAATTCTTTAGGCGAACTGCCCTTTACAGCTGTTTCTACTTGCGGATGGGCCCGTCCGCGAAATGGCACCTCTCATGGAACAATGGGACCAACCAGCCGATGGAACAGGAAGCGGACGATCGATCGGGGATAGATGTTCCGGTATTCGGTCGTTTCTTTTTCGCGAACTGCGACCGGGAATTGGCTCACTTAAATGGACCGTGGACGAAATGAAGTATTTCGAAAGGTGCTAAACAAGGCCTCGAGATTGGATGTACCGATCTTCGAGATTGTTATATACCCAGTATTTTTGTATGTATGTGAGAGACATTCTGTTTAATGTTTTAGTCTCTGTTCTGTGTAAACAAGTATCCGGGAATTGTCGTTTTACTATCTTTCATGTTATTTATTGCACGTTTTTGAGTAGATTGTAGGAAATTCCGAAATCGATTGGTTAAATTTCTTTGTTTACGATTTATGGGTAGTATTGGATATTTTGACCTTTGTAAATACAGCAAAATATCTTGTGGAATCGTTTCTTAAACATTGGAGAACGTCTTTTATAACTTTGTACGTGATTGATAAAAATTGTTTAAGTTTCTTTTATTTTTTAATTTTCTGTTAATTACTTTATAGAATGTTTTAATGGCACTGTGACATTTATTATTGGTTCAATGAACTTGCAGAAATAGATTTCTTACTAGTCGGTGCACTTACGCGAAGTTAAGTCAAGCGTTGCCATATTCAAATGGACTTTGCACACGTTTTAAATAAAAATTGATATTCTTGCTTAGCTTTTTTGAAGTTTCTTGGTCAAATTTCGCTTGAGTGAAGGAAGTATTCTATTTTCACTAAGTTAATCTATTTCTTTCGTTTATAGAAAGTAATCTCATTAACCTGTGTAATGAGTATACTCGTAGAAAAATATTCTTAAACCTTGAATATCCATACGTTATAATGTAACTGATAGTCATATTACATTTGACGATAATTAAAGATTAATACTTACTTTTTTAAAACATACTTTTCATAAGAAATCTTATTTGAACATCTTTGTAATAAATTTTAAAAGTTATGGTTTCAAAAGAACTTCATTTAATTTTTTGTTACAATTTAAATATTTTTAGTTTGAAATTTTCTATTACCATTAGTTTTCCCATGAATCAAATGGGTTATTTCTTAAAAAAAATTCCTATTTTTTACACACAAATGTTTCATTAGTAGTTTACGTTAGACATGTTAGTTAACATAAATAACCTAACCATTTTACGTTAACTTTTGGAAATTGTATGGGCTACACAAAAGTCAACGCATAACATTAAATTTTAATTTTTATAGATATAAAAAAATAATAAAGTTCATCATTTTCGTGAAATAAAAATAGGTTACGCTTCATTTATTGAGTCATTCAATTATGTTGGATTCTTGAAGGTAATTCTTATAGATGAACGATACTTCAATTCGTTCAATGTAATCAAGAATAAAAGCACAAAAAGTAATGAACATTTTTTAATTAAAAACATTATTAGTTTCTTCATATCTATCAAATTTTTTAATTTTTCGATCCCGTGAGGACATATATTCATCGTTAATAAAATTTTACAATTATCAGAACAAATCATTCTTGCTAATACTAACAGATTAAGTATTACAAATTATACTGTATATTGCACTGTTTCTCCTACAGATCCTTAAATAAGTGTATAAATATTTATTCACACATGCATTCTATATTGTATTCACCAAAATTCATTTTCTACAAAGCATCATATTTTGATATTTAAACGTTTTCACAATGATCTACAAAATAAATTACCGACAAAATAAAATCACCAAGTAAAAATATATTTGTCAAGATTCAATAACACGAGGTTCCAGTGTGCGAGAAAGAAGTAAGGTTCGCCTTTTCATCCGTAATTATTTAGGTCAAATTCCATTAACCGTTCTCCGTCTTCTGTGACAATCGTCAGGGTTTTTGTCACCAATGCCTCGGCTCGGAATACATTAATAATAATGATCCTCCGACAATGATTGATAAAGCGAATGATGTTGGAAGTGCGACGATCCAACCGAACCCCGTGTGATCTTATTTTTCATCGGAAGGTTCGGTCATGTCACCCGTTATATAAAACCGTACGCGTTCTTCGAGCATGCCACAAAGCGAAGAGCGAGCACTTTCACGTGGAGGCCGCGTTAGTAAATATCATGGCCATATTTTCTATCCGCTCGTCCTTATCCCGCGTACACCTCACCGATGAACACGCCTATCTCCGTCTTCTTTGCAATAATCGAGTGTGGGTCATTACATGTTCTTGTCGCCCCTCTTTGTTCGCTACTCCTCGGGCGAAAGAGAGACACACCGCAGTCTCCGATTTTTCATCGTGACCATTCTTTAACACGTTGACTGTCACGGTGATCACCGGTGATCGGACCTTCCAAATTGCTTCAGAACGATTACAATAAGAAAACTGATGTCGAATGAAAATATTTAGTAACATAAGTAGCTAGATAATAGTGTGATACGAGTATTGTGATACCAAATTATTAATGATTATTAACACATTGTTGACCGATCACGAGTAAACTCGTGTTTTCATGCTCAAACATTGTTGACCGGTCATAAGTTAAGTCGTATTTGCACTTGCATTAGCCATTTCAATTTTTGAAACTCAGGGCAATGTAGGCTATTGTAGACGCAAAATATTCAAAGTTATATGAAAGATATGTCCAAAGCTTCATTGCAATTTATTATGTATAAATAGAATATATTGAAGTTTATTTTGATTGTGTCACTTTCATATTTAATCACGGAATAATAACAGGTGACATGGAATAGCTTCTGCGTAAAATTTCCGGTTAACAATGTGTTAATAACATTGATTATTAATTATAATTACTTCTAATACCATTTATCTTTATTGTGGAAGAATATTATTATGCAAAACGCTTGAGATTCTTGTGGCAGTCGACGTGTTAAATCATGATCTCCATTATCCAATACGTTTCACTGTCTTCATTATCGTACTCGATCACGCAAATCTCCTGCATAATTTACACGTTACCATTTTAGACACACTTTATCTTTCAGACACACAATTTCTGCCATTGATCATTTTGAGGAATGGATGGCAGAATAATGTCGATTTTATGTATTCATAAGATGCTAATTACAAGTAAATAATGAAGATTTGTGAACATTTTAAGATTATTTTTAGTTCTCTTGGATCTTTACTTTACCTAATATGGGAATTTAAATTATTACTAGGGTTTTTGGTATAGGCATCGATTTGGTAATTTGGATTTAATGTTTAAAAATTATATTTTTGTCATTTTCTTTGAAAGTAGATATTATCAAAGATGATTAGTAATAATAAACTGTGAAAAAGTGTGGTATACGTTATTTTAGGTCTTATTTTCCGCTTTAATAGTATCTTAACCTAATTCAAAGGTGTTCCAATTCAATCATTATTAAATGAAAATATTTCTATTATTTTACATTGATACGAAAAGATATTATCTATCTAGAACATAGCTGTGCAAGTTCAAAGTTTTTTTATTTATGGTATCCTTTCATTAAAGGAGTAGGTATATAACTGTTTTCCACGCCCACTACAAAGAGATAAGTAGTTTTAAAAGGAACACTCTTCAAGTTTTGCCCAACCCACAGAGCTACCTAGATCGTTTTATTGGCAACATTATAATTTCCTCGATTCTTCGAATTTCCACATAGTACCAGTTCTACGGCGCATTTCGAATGTTAATTTGTGAAATTATGTAAAACAGAAGCGATATTTTGAAGTAATCTTCAAACGATTATGCCCCATTAAGTATCAGTGCAGAAATTATAGATAAACCGTTTCCTGTTTGTAATCTTTTACCCTGCGAATTCCAAAAATCTCGAATTTTCCAGTGCTCGAGTAACGTTCCTCGAAATATACATCTTCGCCGATTGCCAGCTACGAAACTATCGCAAAGTGCGGAAGCAAGCCGAGTTTACGATCGTGACTTTTTCTTTGGCTTTATAGCATGGCATCCGAGTCTCGGTCAGTGGACTTGAGTCATTGGAAGAAGAGGAGGAAGCCTGTCAAGGAGAAAATTCTCCCTTCGCATCCTTAATAGTAACTTTTTATTTTCAAGCTAATATTCACCCCGTGGATGAAACACACCGGAGGAACATTTTTCCAAGACCATCGAGTAAATTCGTGACAAAGCTATCGGCAGTCCTTAACACCTAATACGCTAACACTTCTGTTACGTTAACATCACACTTATGTAATAACTGCAAATGTCCGCGATATTTTTAACAAACATTTCGTTTACGAAATGCTTTTGCGAAACAGTGAACGTTTTCCTTCCATCCTGAAATTATGAAGATATACTTCTATTATCAGAGGAGTTTACAAAAAGAAATAGTGTCTAAGTTTTAATCGGGAGGTATTGACACTAAAACTGACCATTTTATAAGTTTAAATTGTGGTTAGAAGATAATATCTTGTAAATTTTTATTTACAAGCTTCTTTTAATGTAAATTAATTTATATTTGTGAAAAATAATAAAATTGTTTATTTCACTAAGAAATCTGAGAACTAGGGAAGTTTTAAAGATAATTTTTAAGATGTTAAAAAATATTATATTAATACCTTTTTGTATGATTTCTACTAATTATGTAATAATAAATTATACTATATGCAGGTATATATAATAGTCAAGTATATAGTTATATTTAACTATTTCTTGCACCAAAGTTTCCACTTTGACTAAACAAGACAGTGTTCGAAATCACAATAATGAGGAATCTACAATTTCTAATGCATCTTGTTAGGTTATTGGTCGCTAGAAACAAAGAGGT